CCCACGCCGAACCGCACCGCACCGGAAAGCGCCGCGCAGCCCCCGCGCAGCCCCCGCGCAGCCCCCGCGCAGCCCCCGCGCAGCCCCCGCGCAGCCACTCGCGCCTCCTGGAGCCAACGCACCTCGTGAGCGAGGCCCTGCAACGGGCTGCGCTTAGAGATGGGGAGGGATTGCTAAGAGACCGGAAGATGTGGCTCAGGGCATCAACTGATGTCACTGCAGTGCCTCTGACCGGGAGGTCATAGGGTTCACTCCCCACGGAGCAGGATTTTCGATACTAGCTAGGTCGAATTCAGTCTCTGTCTAGGGGAGAATTCTAGCGGCCGGCTGCTCTGATCGGTAGTTTTTCGTGGTTTCTGTGATCAATACCAGGCGAATGCCGGAGCAGGATCCTAACAAACGGATCACGGACTGCGCGTGATCATTCCTTCCCATTTCCTGTCCTATCCTACCCCTTATTTACACACAGACGCTTACACGTACTGCACTACCACACATGCTGGGGGACCGGTCGGGAGGTTAGAGATTATCCCGTTTGGGGCGGGGCCCGGCTGGTGGGAGATATCCCGTTGGGGAAAACCCTTTCAGTCGAGGTTACGTCGGAATTCACCATCCAGCGGGGGAAGATCACTGCCGCCCTCAGTTCAAAAGCATGTACTACACTTACGGGATGCATGACCTTAGCAGTTGACGCCCCAGGTTTCACTAATCAATCAATTGCTAATAACGCGAAATGTTACCAAAAGCTGAAAAAAAAAGAATAATTATATGTTTTACGGTGAGTGCAGAATATTTCTTAAGGTTTTTAATCTGTTATAAAACGCGAAATTGATCGCAAAATGCGATATCACGTACGAAGTGCGAAATTGTCGTGAGTATGCGATTTAATTGCTAAATTGTCTTTTTATGTTTCCTTCATATTTGTCCTCTAACTAGGATTCGAAATCGAAAACAACACATCGATATTTGAAAACAATTTGAGGGTGACCGTGTTTATTAATTTATAATTAACATTTAACTTTCAAAAGAGAGTAACAAAATAGAACGTCTGTGTTCTCAGGGTCATCTTAAGGGGTTTCAGCTTCCTCAGTTCGCTGTTTGGAAGTCACGGAAAAAGCAGAAGGCCCTACGCCTACGAAGCTCGCGTTACTTCTTACTCTTTATAGCTTCTTATGCTTTTGCTTATATTCGTCGAAGTTCACAAACAGTAAAATATTAAATTAATTTACCATATTTCCAGAATTTAATAGAAACATCTAGAAAGCATCAAAATAATTTAAACTCAAAGAGACGCCCCTTTATAATACTTTTCTCAACAAATGGTACAAAATGCTGGATCTTAATTTTTATAATACTATAAAATGCTGTAACCTTGTGTTTTCAAAATGCGATTTTTAAACGTTTAAAGTGCTCCGATTGAAATAGCGACATAGGATCCGCTGGGGCTCAGTTATTCAATTGGGGGCTTCAATACCAAAAATTACCGAAGCTCCCGATTGGATAATTGCGTTCTGAGTTGTGTTGATCCGAGTTGACTAAGATGACTTCAATTATTTCATCCCTTTAATGATGTGAACAACACCTCATCATAATTCCCACAATTCACGGACGCAAATCTAGCACATCAGATGAACTGTCTCTTCTAATTGCGTTCAGCTGTTCGTATGTCAAAAGTCACTCCAATTAATTGAAAGCATAGTGGTGGGTTAAAAGGAAGGAAGCGTACCCAGCACGCTGTACAATGAGGGGGATAAACATTTCTGTGCCACCTTCCTGCTGAACTTTTTTAGTTTCTCGTCCTTACGAAGGTACTTCATAAGACGTGTGCTGGAAAACGGAGAATTTTTCGCAGATTATGTGATAGAATGTTCGGAACTAATTGAGAATGACCTTGTATCAGATTAGAGAACAACGATGAAAAACAGCTTACAGGTGATCTTTGAGCTACATTTTTGTTCATATTAGTTACTAAAAGAGCGTACAAAATGTAGCTGTACTAAACTCTTACTAATCGCATCATTGATACCTGCAAGTATTTTTTACGATGATATACAATTTGAAATTGCCATATTATCAGTTCATATCTGTATGGAGGTAACATACAAGGGGATTGGGTGTTTGGGTATTTTTGAATGGGTGTATAACATTATCAGCTATTACAAGTACAATTCATTTTTAAGTCCAGTGCAAGAGACTGTAAGAACTTATTTGAACAATACTATGCATGGCATTTAGAAATATTTCATCACATAAGAAACTTTTCAAGGGATTTACAGCGTCGGCGACACCATATTCAACTAATTTTTAAGTAACTGAATAAAGTCAATGCCATACCCACTCTAAAAACAAAATGTTACGATCGTCGTACATCAAGGTTCGTTCTTGAGTTTAAAAGTTATGTGAGCGGGGAGGAGGTTAAACCTCGCATAGTGATGTTAATATTTCAATCTCTTAGGTAGAGGCATTTTTTGTTTCCTTTAAAAAATGAGCAGAGAATCAATTAACGTAAGCCGGTGAAATACGTTTAGGTGCAACTGAATCCAAAACATTGAATGTTTCTTCTATACACAGAAACTGGCAATATCCGCTTTTAAAAGTTTAATCAATGTTGAATTTCTTCTTTATTGGGAAAATACCAAGTTACCCCAAAAAAAGGAGTTTTTTACGAGAAGAAACCTACAGTATGTGTCCCAAATTTTTCATTTTTTTCAATAAATTACGCAATCAATTCAGTGTGAGTCGCTTTTATCGCTAATATGAAAGACTGTTGCCTCTCTGTGCTGGTTAAACAGATCTATCACGTGACTGTTTCGGCTGTCAGCGGCGCATGCGCGTTGGAGCAGATTAGTCATGCGACATCTACAACAAAACATCGATGTTGCCAAATATCGATTTTCAATATTAAAACATTGATGTTACCAATACATTGATCAAACCCATCGACGCGACGTTTTGAAACGTAGACTTCTTAATGCTGTTTTAGTTAATTCCATCATTAAATTTGTTCGCAATAAAATTTAATTTGACAGCGGTCGTTTATAATATTATAATTTATAATTAAAATTTAACTGAAAACAAAGTTTATAAAATACCTCTCCATTATCGTTCGAACACATGCATCAGTCCTCATTTCATATTTTAACTTTTATAATTTTTCATCCACAAACAAATCATCGAAAAAGTAACAACACATCCATATTCCCATAAAAAAAACACATCCATATTCAAAAAACATCGGTTTCAATACATTGATGTTTATGAAGAAACGTCGATGTTTGGAAAGCATTGGCATCGATGTCGCATCCTCAGAGCGGCTCAGCCAATGGGCAATTTCTCCTACCCGTCAGCGCCTTATTCAACCACAGATACAACGAAGACCAAACCGCTCCGGATTTATGCAGACCCGACGGCGTTGGGAGGGGAAATCCCGATGGAGTTGGCAACGACGAAAAGGGGACATGAAATGGAAGTGACGTAAATTCCGGCGAACTTCCGGGATAGATCCATGATGGGCGGGACCTTGGCCAAATTTTTCTTTCGGAGAAGCTCGGCAAGCGGGTATTCGATGGAGGAACATTCAAAAATAAAGTAATGGAGGTTTTTTCTCGTAATAATTCACGAAATGTTTACGAAATTTTGACTTTTCTTCGAGATGGAAGGGGCATATTACGATTTTCTTTATATATTTGTCTACTAAACTGGTAAAATTCAATGCTTCTTGCAACTTTCAAATAGCATAATCATAAACGTATATTGAACATTAAAGCGATAATTTTTATAAGGGAAAGGGTTTTTCCCTTCAAACGTCTTTTTAGGATCACGTCAGAGGAGGAGGCTTACACTTGCGTTTTATTAGGTCAAACCGTCACTGTCCCATCACAGAATTAGAAATTAGAAACTAGTCTCATGTCCATCATACAGCGAATATAATATTGTAGATCATATAATATTTTATCGATAACTTTGAGTTCTGAAATTCGTATTCAAGTTCTGATCAAGTTGCATTTTAAAATGTATAGTAAAAAATAAATTCACTCTCTCACTTACCCTTACGATAAAAAAGTCGGTAAATCTTGTTCCTATATATAGTAAACTAGCGGAACCCGGCTGCCCTTCATCTTCCTCTTTCTCCTTTCCTCTCTCTTTCTCTCTCCGTCTCTCTCACCGTCCAACAATCTCCGTCTCTCCCTCCCTCTCCTATCTCTCCGCTCTCTTCGTCTCTGTCTCTCCGTCTCTTTTTCCCTCCATCTCTTTCTCTCCCCGTCTCTTTCTCTCTCCATTTTTTATCTCTGTTCCTCCCTCCGTCCCTCTCTCCGTCCCTCTCTCCGTCCCTCTCTCCGTCCCTCTCTCCGCCCCTCTTTCCGTCCCTCTCTCCGTTCCTCTCTCCGTCTCTCAACGTCTCTTTTCGTCTCTCTCTCCGTCTCTCTTTCCCTGCCACTTTCTCCGTCTCTCGGAGTCTCTCGGTGTCTCTCGGTCTTTTTCTCTCGGCGTCTCTTGGTGACTCTCCGTGTCTCTCCGTGTCTCTCTGTGCCTCTCTGTGTTTCTCTGTAACTCTCTGCGACTCTGTGTGTGTATGCCTCTCTTGCTCTGTGTCTCTCTCTGTCCTTGTCCGGTTCTCCGTCTCTATCTCTCACCACCTCTGTCTCTCTGTCTTTATCTCTATCTGTGTCTATATCTGTGTGTATGTGTCTCTCTCTTTCCCTGGTTCTCTTTGTTTCTCTTTCTGTATCTGTGTCTCTGTCGGCCTCTGTATGTCTCTGTCTGTCTGCCTCTATCTCTATCTCTTTACGTCTCTGTCTCTTTCCGTCTCTGTCTCTCTCTCTCTCTCTCTCTCTCTCTCTCTCTCTGTCTGCCTCTCTGTCTGTCTATCTGCCTCTCTGTTTCTCCGTCTGACTCTGTTCTCTCTATTTCTCTCTCTCTTTCTCTCTCTCTTTCTCTCTCTCTTTCTCTCTCTTTCTCTCTCTCTCTCTCTCTCTCTCTCTCTCACTCCTATCTCTTCGCCACACGGTAACACTCAGCAAAAAGATGAAGTGCAATTTGAATGGAAATTGAATTAAAATGAAGCGCAATTTTGTTCAGCAATGCCATTTAGTGGAGTTACAACAAAATTAACAGCGCATAAATCTTTTGGGTGAAAAAACCATTTAGATATGCCAACTTTCATGGAGATCAGTCACACGGTCTCGGAGTTTACTGCTCTTATACATTGAAGACGTCCATATCACTTCCTATAACACGTTGAATAGTCAGAATCCATGTTTTGTGAATCTTTAATATCAAAAAATCGATTGATAGCAATTTTGGAGCTAATTTACTCCAAAATTAATATTCCCCGATTGGTTTAAATGGTTTCGAAGCCATCGGAGATTGAAATTATTATTTTGAATTTGGGGGCACTTTATATAAAGACTAAACAACATTTTTTGATTAATTTGTGTTTGCCCTAATTATTCATTAATATTTATTCAGGGGTACTCGTCTGATTTTTGTTGAAATCCTTGTTTTTTCGAAAATTGCAAAACTGGAATTTTTTCCGCGTTTTCCTACAACAACAATGTTGAAGAAAGATTTTTCCTTAATGAAATCCGTTCTTTAAAGAGACTATCTTGAAATAATATAATATTAAATTTTTCAAAATATGAGTTCTCACATAACTTTGTATGAAATTTTAGACAATTTTTCAATTTTTTTAAAAGAATTATTTTCTCGAAAATGTCTCTAAATTTTTTCTTTAAATTTTCTCCTTCAAGGTGTCAAATGGCGATAAAATATTGGTGCTAGTCTTATTTCTGACGTAATCTGTATTTTTGAAAATTGCAAAAAGTTAATATTCAAAACTACAAAGTTGAAGATAGAGATTTTTGCCTTGAACAAAATCTGATCTAAAAATCAGCTCTTTAAAAAATATCACTTAGAATTATTTGAAAAGACGAGTGTTTTTGTGTAATTTGTGCTTGAAATTTAAGCAAATAATAGAATAAACATTTTCTCAAGCCGCTCCAAGTTTTGTCTACAAGTCCTTTTCCAGTGATAGAAAAATGAACGCTGAAAAGAACGGCGCAGGTCCTGTTGAATACTCTGAATTTTGGAACATTTCAAATTTAGAAATAATGCGAGATAATATGAGCTGTTGAAGCACTAATTGTTTCTATCACTTTATTTTTTTCGTCAATTTTACTCATTAATTCTATTATTAAAGTTATTTCATTATTATTGTATGATGTTTAATTTGTTTTCTAGGAAAATACATCACTTTTAAATAAAAAAGTTTAATAGAAAAACGATGCTTCAGAGGTTATAGTTATTAACGTCATTAGGCCGATAAATACCAAATATCAGACGCCGTTGAAGTTCGTAAACCCAGGCGACAGCCGAGGTTTATAACCAAACAAGTCTGTTCTGTGTGATAACGGCCGTGTGCCGTTCAATACTTTTCGCAATACCATCTTCTTATAGAAAAAATAATATAAATAAGAAATGCCTTTGATTTTAATACATAGAAATGCAACTCCATCTTCCATTTCAAATCAATTCGTCTCTTGCTTCAGAAGCGACATTTACAAGAAGACCAAGATCGTACAACGCAACCATTTATCGTAAGAACATACTAGAAAATGTTTACTGGAGGCAAATGGATACTTAAAAAACTTATTGTAATGTTTGGTATTTTAGGACAACCACTTGTCTCATTTGTGCCATTGTGCCATTGTCCCACTTTGACCCCATGTCCCATTTGGTCCTCTTGTCCCATTTAGAGACGAGACGAACTAGTGTCATTGACTTTATATAGAAACCACGAACAATGGAGTGATACACTGAATTTCGCAGAAACAAAAAAATGAACTTTAATAAGTAGTTCGAAATCACTTGGCTCAACAGCTGCCGGCCGATATAGCTATTAACATACCTAGAAATGATATTAGTGATATAATGATGCAGAGGCCAAAGTTAAAAATCGACGCGAAGCGTAGCGGAGCCGAGATATTTAATTTGGACGAGACAATAATAACACTAATATTTCGTGGTACGTTCAGCAGTTTATCGTTCATCATAAAATCTCACGATCGCATTTACGGCATTACTGTGCTAGTAAACAAATGAATTCTGTTGCTGCAGTGCGTTACCACAATATTGTGGGGCGTTACTTGCGATGTATCTATTTAAACAATTTTCGTATATCATGATTTGAGAAAAGCTGGATGCAAATAATTCTCCTGAACCTAAAGATACTTAAAGAAATGACGTTCGATGAGGAAGTTGGCGTGTCGTCTTCTAATGGCGATACCTTCAGATCGTCAGTAATTATGATTACCGGAGTTGGTTGTATGCTAGGAAAATGGGGTTAATTTACCAAATACACATTTTCTAATTGCATTATTAATATTACTATTAACAATAATTATCCCCAAAACTAATACAACTTACTTTTATTGTGAATTGTTTTAATATGATTTGTGTAAAACAGAGTTTTTTAATAAACATTTGACTTGCGATGAATTTATGATTCCATTTATGTTGCTAAGGATGTCACAACTTGTTGCTAAGGATGTTCAATTTCTCAATACAGGTAGGCACAAGTGCACTAAGCAAACCTGTAGGGTTGCATGTTAACAGGGGTTAAAGACGTATGTGACCTAAAAATAAATTAATGGCCATTAACATTTACTTTTCATACCTCTATGGGGTTGCGTGATGCAGATATATTAACTGATAGTATTTTGAAAAGAAATTTAACGAACTAAACTTCGCTGGCAATTTCTTTTTCTCGGGATAATCTTTGGGTGTACTTCTTTCCCAGGATTATAATTAACATTGTATTTAGTGTATGACTTAAACTTGCAGTCTGTATTCATAAGACTGTGAGACAGCATGAATAGTCCCGCATTACAAGGTCCTTTCAACAATAACACACAACAAAAACTAAAAATCTCGTAATACATCCTTGATTATAGATTTTTTTATCTGATTCTCCCAGCACAAATAAGTGTTTTAGGTTGAATTGAGAATGGTTCATAAGTAAACGCAATAAGCAACTTTAATTCACCTGGAATGTATTGAAAATGCTTGGGTTGTGTAAATAAGTTACTATTATTACATTTGTTATTTAAAATTCAATTGAAACTAATTTCCAAAAGATGTACAGCTCCATTAATTGAAAGATCTATCACTTTTAATATGTGTAAAAGAAACTTTTTTATTGCAAAAATCAACAGTTTATGAACTTATCTAAGCTTCCAATAATTTCCGGATACACTAGAATTTAAGATTAGTCGCGAATACTTTTCTAGTAATCATTATTATTAGTACTCAATAGCATTAAATGTACAGTATATTTTCCAATAAATACCGTCTTCTACATCAATTTACAGCTTAATTTTAATTGTCACATGTTAATTGCGTAATTTTCGTCCTGGCTCTTTTCTATAGTTATAATCGATTATGATGTTCCTGGGTAGGATGATATCCAGATCTGTCTAGTTTAGCGAATAAGATAATGTCAAAAGGAGAAGATCGCGTAAAAAATTATGACATAATCTCGTCGGGCAAGCGGAAAAAGGCTGCCGGTTAGAATCGCGCTATCTCAGCGCTTTAGATAAAGGCTTCGCAATGGCACGTAACCGAAAGCAGGGAGGGGCGAAACGATCAGAAAGTGTAAACAGCAACATGTCACCGAGCACGAAGCGGCCGCGCAGCAACTCCAAAACAAGTGCGTGACGAGTGCGAGGAGTTTCGGGCAGAGCCCGTGCGTGTCGCTGCGTGAGGCTTCATGGCAACCTTGGCTGTGGGCTGTGATCACGCCCACGCCCTATGGACTCCCCGCATGCCTTCACGCTGCGCGCTGCGAACACACGGAAAGTAGAAACACTACCTCCGCCGCACGCTGGAAAATATATCGCAATCCCTTGATAAAACATTCTCTCTCAGAATATTCTTCACATCCTTCACGGAAAATCTCAAAGGAATTTCCGTATGAGATTTGCTCGGCTGGAACATTGTTGTGTCGGCAGCGTTTCTGACTGGGAGGTCTTAGGGTTCGAGTTCAAACGGTGGCGGATTTTCGTCACTAAATGTATATACTCGTAGATGGACAGAATTCAACCATAGAGTGATGGAGAATTCTTACGGCCGGTTGCACTGATCGGTAGTTTTGCGTGGTTTCTTTGATCAATATCAGACGAAAAAGGAGCAAATCCCTAACAAACGGACAACGGAGTGCGGTGACCTATCCTTCCTCATTCTTGTCAGCTGCTGGAGATACCTGCAGGGGAAAATCTCTCAAGCTCACGTCTAGGTGAGGGCCCGAGCTCACGTGCGAGCGAGGAAGGAATACTGCGACCTTCCGACATATGATAAGCAAAACTTGTAACTTTTCCACAGATAGAAGGAGGGTATGGCTTTAGGGACTACTGAAAAAGAAAACGAATACGCCCTGGCGAGGTGTCTGAATTGATTCACTAATCTGAGTTAAATCAACATTCAGCAATCAAAAATTTCAGAATTAAATTAAATTAAATTGTTGTGTATGTACCGTATGTCCAAATATGACAATGTAAAACAGAAAAAATTGAAAAAAAATGAAGTTTGACCTCCCAATATTTTGTTCTTAAATCAATCACAAATAATAAAAAAATTAAAAACAAAACAAATTTATTTGAAAAGACATTAAACAATACTAGGTAAAAAGGTACCTATGGAGTTCCCTTTTTTATATTTTTAAAAGAATGAATGCAATTTATGAATGTAATATTTTTGTATGATTTCCAATAAATTGCATTTTATTATTGTTTTTTCTTTTTTTGAATTGACATTTTATTTGTAATAATCCCTGTAAAGCAAAGTTGCATGACTACGGAAATAAATAACAACAGATAATTGGATCAATTGGAATATCTGAGTTCAGTATTTGCTCTAACTTGCATGAGTTCAGGTGTCATTGCTTTATTAAATTAATTATTTTCTTCGGCGAATGTTACGTATCTAAATAATACCGTGGGAATTACTAAAGAAAAAGTCATAATAAAATGGTACGATAAATGTTATGTCTTAGTATCAAAAACATGCAAGAGAAAATAATACCGAAAGTTTAAAAAAGAGTTCCAACAAAGATGATCCACAAAATAGCATACGATTCCTTGACCTATGTGATTAAGCGAAAGAGCTGTCATTGTCAGTATTTGCATAAATAAATAATAGCTAGCGAAGTATGAACAGCAATTATTAAAACAAATGAAGTTCTTCCCCGCAAAGCCTGCCGCATGGATTTTTTGGACATTACGGCGATACGTATCAGTACCTTCCGAAAAAAGACATGTGGCGGGTATAATATTCTGTTAGTTTTGACCTTCGGAAGATTCCGAAAAGACATCAACAAGCAGGCAACGAGGAGATGGAAACCATTCCGGGCAAACAGATAAGAGACCTCCCATGACCCTGCCCGACCGCTCTAGCCCCCTGCGGATTCTGATATGGTAGCTTCAAAAATGTAAAATTAAAATGAAAAAAAAAAGTACATGAAAAGACGATTGCCGTAATAATAATAAAGATTACCGCCGGATAAGATGGTAAAACGTTACTTAAAGCTAAATGATTAGTATCAGTAGTAACACTATAACTCTAATATAAAAATAAGATTTTTGAAGGATTTCTTAGCCCCCGTCCCATAACCCACACCCCTCTGCAGTCAAAAACATGTTTTTTATTTTATTTTTTTGTCAGCTTAACACTTTTATCTGATTGAAAAATAAAATAATTCTTACTATCAGAATACATTTTTTTATATTCTCTCAAAAATCACAATTGATATTCTGAACATTATTTAAGATTGGATCCTTCGACTCTCAGATCAAATTTATGCTTCTCTTCCTTTTTCTCCTGCAAATACTTTTGTTCAACTTGGCAAAACAGTAAATTGTTTTCCACGAATACATCTCGTAACTTAAAAGATCCCTTACATCTTAAGACTTCGGACCCAAAGAGTTGATACAGTTCGCACTCTAAACTCCTCGGATTTCCAGCTGGCTTTTTGGTATTTTAATATTAACTAAGAAAGCTAAACATCACATTCTTTCTAGCATTATTTGTAAGTTTCGCAATTTTGAGAAAGTTTAACTAAAATGAAACCTACGTCCTTTTAAGTATATTTTGCTTTATCTGATGAAAAAACTAATTAAAAAATTTGTAGCCATTTAAAAAAATTGACCTTATTAAGGCTTTACGTAAAAAAACACAATTCAAATTATCGGGTTCAAATTCACTGGACCTTGAGTTCGGCCAGATCGCCCGGAGAATATCAGTTTTGGAGAAAATCGTCTGAACGGTTGAGGAGCTAGCGTTGTTCACACACGGACGGACACTTGGACGTCAACCAATTTTTCGGTATCATGGAAACGTAACTTGTAACAACATGACATGTTGGAGGAAGTTATTTATTACATATGGGAACATAAATTATTCACTTTTTTGGAATATGAGACCCCAAAACAAGGTTTTCTGTCGAAAAATTGTTGGGGTTTTTTTCGGCACTGCATTACAAAAGTTTCAGCCAGTGATTCTTTATTTTACGTAAGTATTATGTGGAACACTATACTACGGATGTAGCATGCGAGAAAGTAAAAATTATTAAAAGTTATGCCTTATGTTCAAAACAACTAATGTAAATGTCAGCTAGAAATACCAATATTTTAGATTTAGTATTTCTGTTAGTAGACTGTTGAATCACAATTGAAATTAGTCTTCGATTGGAAGACAGTACTCGTGGTAAATAAACACAAACAATAACGAAACTGGATTTTCGGCTTCGCCCAAGGTTTGCAGGAATGGCACGCCAAGACTCAGTCCGTCGAGGCAGCTCTCGCATCGTGAATCGTGACTGCAGCCAGCCGCAGCAATTCGGGCAACTACGCCTGCAGGGAATTTACGGCATCACAAAAACGCGCCCGGACAGTCTAGTTTTAGTACACCTTATACCGAAACGAAAGAGAACTGGATGGGCCACGTCTTAATGCTGAGAAGAGTAACAACTCTTCGCCCGACGAAAAAAGGAAAGTTCTGTTCCGGAGATGCAAGTAGCAAGAAGATGTCAAAATACAGATAATCATTACAATTAAGAAAATTTTAAGATAAAACAACTTTGATGACATTTAATATTTTTATAAATATAAATTTTTAAATATCTTTTATTAAGGATATATATGTGAGTTTGATTTGATCCGTCACTCTTGACGGGTAACCTAAGTGATATATAAATGGCATTTAAATTCACAAATGCTTATTTCTCCTTAAGAGAATGCGTTAATTTCGCTTACAATACAGTATTCTCGTACATTCCTACAGTACTTAAAGGAAATCAATCATTCTCAAAATCTGATCTAGGAGCACGGTTGCAAAACATTTTAATAAGGATACAAATTTGCAAGTTGTCAAATTTATTTTATCACAGTTGTTATTCAGATGTCAAGTATTATTGATTGCAATGTGCATGTTATAGAAACAAGGTATGATGGTATGATGTAACAAAATGATGTAAAAATCAAACCCTGAACTGATTTTACTCTTTGACGTGTAAGCCACTTCCCTAAAATGGAAGGGATTAAAATATCGAGTACCTAGATTGTTGAGTATTGTGGCAGATTACAGCAATAATGTGTTGTACGAGTTCTTTGGAATGGTGATAGAAACTGATCCTTTCTCGGGGTGAGTTACTGTCACTTTCTTGTCACTCGATCTCCTGTAATAGAAAATATATTTAAATATTGGTCATTATTAAGAAAAAGAATTTATTTATTGAAAAACAATCTCACCTGTTGTACAACACCACCACCGATTGACCGCTGGGAGTGGTAAATGCAGTAGTGTAAATGCCCTTCTTAGAGCTGGGTTCAACGGTAAAATGCACCGATCCTTCAGGAACGAACTTGGTGAAATGCCCCATCGCATAGAATATGGGCTGCTTGTAGAATTCGTCGGCATCCTTGTTGACGATCACAGCGGCGTCAACGAAATTGTTCGCCCAGTTGGGACCTCCTTGCATATCAAGGCCCAAGTTCCAGTCAACCCAACCGGACACCCAGTGGTTCATATCCTAAAATAATCCATTAATTTTTAAATTAACATCCTCACATTTATTAGAGTTTAAAAAATTTGTTTATTTATGATGGTCGCATCAACGACCAAGTCATTAGCACTGCAAGAATGTTATGAATGGTTACCACTTTAGAATATTGATTCTCATTACAAAACTGTAGACTTTTCTTTCTTGGACCTTAAGGATGACAATTACTATAGCATCCAAGTAAAGACTCTGCGCAGTACAAATTTTTGATATATGAAAAGTCTTATTTTAACATTTTAATAGTAATTTATAATAAAAAAATGGTGTATTTTCAGGTCACGAAGAACTATACTTTATTTACTTCTTTAGTTATTTGTTCTACTCTTAAAATAGATTTTTGGTGTCCACTTTTCTTTAGGATACATAAGAATAAACTAAAAATATACAGTGACTCTGCACAAGATAGACAAATTTAATATCATGTTAGAGATCAAGAGAACTGCCCAGTTCTGATCTGATATTTTGTTGTACCTCTCGGTCTCTGATAACTCTTAAGGCATTATAAAATTTCATTCAACCGATTCATCGTTTTTCATCTATTTTAGCGCTAATTATGCATAATGCTTTCATAGAACTTTGAGTTATTGGGACAAATACCAAATTATATTACTATAATATAACAGTCTGCATGTACTATTTTAGTGTTTATCTTTCGAACTAAACAAAATCACATTCAAAAGTACATGCAGTAATTCCAAAGAAAACAAATAATTGTTGCTCCATTATCATATTGTGTTTTAATGAATATGTATTATAAATCTAGAATACCAAACAAGCAATAAGCGATTTAATGGTTTTTGTAGATGCTATTTAAAGATGCAATGATTATTTGTGTTGCTTCAACAATAACACTAATTATACAATAAACTTTACGTAGTTTAAATAAACTTTGTTGGGGCAACCACGGCCACTTTAAGTTGGCCGTGGGCTAGCCCTTCAGATCTTCTGCGGAGCTAAAAGAGAAAAAATATATATACGGTACGTACTATGTATTTCCAAAGAAGATTGTTTAAGCTAAAAGAGAAAAAAATCGATATCGAGTAATTTATTTTATTACTAGTATTTCACTTGAATTAAGATTACCAGTCTTATGACTGCGGGTATCGTTCCAAAAAATATTGGTGAAAACTGTATTTTAAAACCAGCTGGAAAACGTTCATTTTAATCAGGAAGAATTAGTACTTGAAACAAAACTACGACTCAGCGCCTATAAATCCTACCAATAAATTAAATGCTTCGATTATCTTCTCGTTCAACTCATTCCGAGATAACGGCGAAGTCCACACCACTTTCCGATCTCCAACTCATTCAAAACGTTAAATAAATTCATAGATTTAATCTTTTCGCTAAAACAGTAAGTAGGATGTTGTTATCTGTGAATAATACGATCACAAATTGTAAAAAGTGTACTTTCCACAAAAAACATTTGAGGAGACCTCAATCTTAAATAAACAAATTTATTTCCTGCTATTGCATTTCGAAGGCTATGATAATCTTGACTTTTCATCGAATAAATTATTCAAAATCACTCGATTACATAAAAGATGCGCTAGAACCCTACGCTTTCTTCTTCTGGAAACACCAACAACAAAACATCTTTCAGCTTCATTAATTTCCGAGAGCTGCTATTGAAGCCACCATCGCCATCCGGGTGAAACTTTTCTTGATGAATCCTTCTTAATTTTTCATCGTCACTTCGGAGGCCCGCAAAATTCCTTAATCGGTCGCATTCGTCTTTAACCCTTGTTAACATGCAACCCTACAAGTTTGTTAAGTGCACGTGTACCTAACTGTAGGTTAAGAAATTTAAAATCCTTAGCAACGGGTTTTAACATCCTTAGTAACCTATATAAACAACCATCCATCGCAAGTCAACATTATTTCGAAAAAAATCACATGGTAATTTACAAGGCAAATAGTAATCAAATACACGCATTATTTTTGGGATGTTCATTATTAATTATAATGTTATTAATAGTGCAGTTTGAAAAATAAATATTTGGTAAATTAGCATTTTTTTGTTGCCATTTTCACTTTATTTACCAAAGACTCCTCAACGTAAGATTCGGCCACGGTAGAGCTCCGCTACCCACCAAAACGTTTCAAATCAGTAAGGGAAGCTCCTGAATCGTCCAATGAAGAACCATTGTTGAAATAGATATATAGCAAGCAATACCCAGCAATATCGATTATCGTGCCACAACAACAGAATTCATGTGTTTCATATCGCAGTAATGTAAATTTTCTAAAAAACAAATTGAGATAAAACGCTGAACATACCACGAAATGTTACAGTGTTATTACTGCCTCGTTCAAATTAAAAATCTGGGCTCCACTACGCTCCGCCTTGATTTTTAACTTTTGGCATCGGCAGTAATAACACTCGCAAGATTTCTAGGTATGTTAATAGCTATTATATTTTTGAGAAGAGTTGCTTTCAACAAGCCGAGTCGTTTCTTTATGGACAAGATAGACTGTGAGCGTTTTGCAGTCTCATTGCAATGCTTATCTACTCCGTATCTCTCGCGTCTGCATAGCAAGCTAAGACCTCTCTGGTTAAATTGTAAGCGAAAAACGATATGAATGCCTAAAAGCGCTTGAATCTGCTTTTATTGTTATCACTGCACGGAAACATGGCGCGTTCTTGCCTTGCAACTACTAGCTTCCCCACTGTGCCGTCGAAGGCAGCAAAGATAGAAAAACATTAAATCAAAATTTTAAGATATCAATTAAAAAATGTTGGTGAAATCGTCCTAAGCAATTCTGAAAAATAGTCAACACCAGAATGCGTAAGGAAGACTTGTAAAAGTTTTGAGGAAATCTCGAGATGTTGCTAATTGAACATTTGGCACTTCGTTTGAGAAAACAAAGCACAAAGGTATTAAAAGTATTACGAAAGTAAAACATTGCGAACATCGTAAATGTTTCATAAAGTATGGAGTACGAAGACCGTTCTATAGATGTATCTTCTTTAAAACATGTTACTACAACTTGCTACGCTGATTGTTATTTTGAAAGACGAACTTCTTAACGAAAGTAGTATTTGTTTATGGATTGAAATACCTTAACAGAGCTTAAACTAGCGCTAGAAATGTTTTAGATATTTTTTTTAAAATTTTCAAGTGTTAGTCGAACAACAAACACCTTAAATATATTTACCTGAATGATATCTGCCATATAGTCTTCAGATCGACTCCAAGAACCAAGAGCTACCTTAGGGTAGTTCCATGGTCTATCACCTGTAAAACATTAAGCAAAATGTTTGATAGCTTTAGAAGAAAGTCGTAACGTACAAATTCATACTACAATACTATTTATTTAAATGTATCCATTATTGAATTTGGACTTTACACTTGAACATACGAGGGTCTTTCCTTAAGTCATGCCAACTACACTACAAGTTCCAAAATACCAGAATTGTGAATTCGGTAGGTTGAAAACCTATTTGAAATGATTTCAGGTCTTTTTTTCTAATTTTATTTTCCGAGTGGCCATTTTTCCAAAGAGAATCTTTCTGATTTTCTTTTATCCGATGTCCCATATTTCGTGGCTAATACTTCCGAAACTTAATAAATCTGAATTGAAAACGAAATAATGAGAATAAATATGTATTTTATTTGATATGCATGTTCATATTGAAGGTAAGGAATTTTATAAAAGTAAGTTCCTAATCTTTTTAAGTATTTAAATAGACTATTTTCTTCTGGATATGTTTCGTCTTCGGATCCAATGTCTTCCAGGTTCTGTCTTGTTCCGAAAATTATAACGCGATTTCCATCACAGTGGTACGACAGCGATGAGGAAGACAACAAAAATCGTTCTATTTGAAGGGTAATTGTTAAACGATGGGGAATTTCTCCGAGCTCGGCTAAGTAAGAGGGGTCTCTTGGTTGTTTACTTGTCTCTTTTTATGAATTTCTTGGAAATTTCTCTTTCAGGTAAACCAGAATGTTCATCTGAAAGGACTTCATGGTGTTCGCTCTTAAAATATGGCCAGGAGGCTCCCAAGCAAGTTTATTGAGATTGTACTTAATTTCTGAGTTAGCTTGCTGAGGCAAGAAAATGTGTGGTCTTATCAATACCTTTGGGTACAACAATTTCTTTTTCATAGTTTGAGGTCATGGCTCAAGCAGCACTCCTTTGGTCTTAGTTTCACACCCTTTCAGTGTATTTTTCCAATAACTGATTTACTTTGTAATAAATCTATCCGTCAAAAATTACTTTCACTCTAACAGAAGTTATAATTTTTGCAAGCAGTTTTCAACTATGGTTTTCGGATCAATGAGTTCGGAAAAATAAATTCGGAAAAATGGATTCGGAAAGTTGGTTTCGAAAAATAAATATATTGCGAAAAAAATATCCATTTGGAACTCTTATTTTGAAAAAAATGCTTTGAGTAAAAAGTGCAACCCGTTTGGAAGTGTGAGAGACGTCATTACCAAATTGCACACGCGATTGTGTGTGTGTGTGTGTGAGTGTGTGTGTGTGGGTGTATGCATTGATGGCTGGTTGGCAGCAAACGCAGAAGTTTGTATGCCAGAGGCTGACTTCCAAGATAGAAGTGATAAAGTACAACAGCGGTCAAATGTGAAAATTGCAGCCCAGCGGATCAAAAGTGCTCGTTAGTGTCGTACGGATCAATGACATCATTGGGCGAAAGTATGTTGCCTTATCGTAATGTCGCACGTGGAGTAGAGGTCTCACGTCATAACTGCTGACCTGACGCGCATTTGGCGAGAGCTGGTATACAATAGGGATGCGACATCGATAACACAACATCAATGTTTCAGAACATCGATGTTCAAAATTAAAACATTATTATTATTATTATTATTATTATTATTATTATTATTATTATTGGATGATGTAAATGCCATGATTTATTGATTAATGATTCCAGACGGGCCAAGTGTTAAGGTCATCAGTTCCTTAAGTATATTGCATTTTTTTATTGCGGTAGGTGACTGACCTCTCGCTAACAGGTTCGCCAACTAATAGGTTCATTAGTCCTCTAAGTGTAGTACATGTTTTTGATCGTGAGGTGACGGTATTGGTGATGTGTGATATTGCTTTGGAAGTAAGTGTGTGCAAGTAAGGAGTGAGGATCGGACAAGGAAGAGGAAGAAAAGATCGCACGCCCCCCTTTGCCGTTTGTTGGGATACTGCTCCGGCATTCGCCTGATGTTTATCGAAGAAACTTCTTATCAAAGCAACCGGACACTAGAATTCTCCCCCAGGCAACAGCTGAATTCGATCTTGCTATGTAGCCAGTGGCGATAATCTTGCCCCCGTCGGGACTGGAACCCTAGGACCTCCTGGTCATAGGCGCTGCAGTGAGCCACCTAAACCGGATTCACGATGTACTGAATGCCCCCTTCGAAATTTTGAGGCACTTCAGACAAATCTGTGCAGCTTTAATATAAAAGTGAATACAATGTTTAAGTCTTGGGTTGCGCCAACTCTCAAATTTAAAGATATGTAATTCCTCACACTTTTAATGAGTTGCCTTTTTCACGGTTATTCTGCGGATCGTGAACACGAACCTAACAGGCTCCGACAGCTGACAGCGTTGGCCCACCCACAGCCCAGGTTAGATCGAGAAGATCGTGAGTTGCCAAAAAAAACTTTGCGAATGACCTTCAAAGCACTTCGCAGATTCTGACACGACCGAGAAAGTTTGCAAAAACCTTTCATGGTTATCGGTGAAAACTTCCCTTTTTAGGATGAATACTACATGAATTCTTATTAAGTACATAAAATGTTATAAATTCATATGCTGTTAAAATATAAATGTTGATTTTAATGTCAAATGAAATTAGAGATTATTTCCTAAATAATCTGCAATGTATTATAAATATGTATTTTTAACCCGTTGCAAGACATTAATTACCAATTGATGATAAATAAATACTTAATGTGTACAGACCATTAATTATAAGAATTATTAGGAGTATTACCCAAAAAGAGCTGATAATGATGCAACGAATTATAACTGAATGCTAAGAATGGCTGAAGAGACTACTCGTTTTGAAGGGGTTGTATGCATCAATTATCAATACCACATTTAATTTTAATATCGATGAGGTGTGAAAAACGAACTCAATGTACTTTTGAATGATTAGAGAGACCACGACGTATATTTGTATAAATCATTGTAGAATCACGATGATGCAGTAGACATTGGAAATAGAGATCACAGGATTTGGTCGGAGGAAATCAAAACATTCAGTTTGGCAATATTTTTGAATATTTTTATTCCATCCTCAGGGCTGATGGTAAAACAACACTATAAACATACATGTATTACAATTGTCAAAAGTATATTTATAGTGTTGTTTTACCACCAGCCCTGAAATTGAATAAGAATACTCCCAAACGTCGGCAAACTAAATGTTTTAATTTACTCTGACCAAATCTCCTTATCTCTAATTTCATTACATTTGTATTGCTTGCATTGAACAACTTTTTGAAATGCTTCACACCCGAACGAGAAAAATAAAAATGTTGAAACAAAGTTTATTTACGCCCTTTCTACTCTTTTTCCCTCTTATAACATAAGTTGGATCGTTATTGTTGTCTTTTCTGGAAATGTAAATCTACGGTCATTCCTAGAAGAACATTTTGACACGTATAAGTGAATATCATGAACGCAAAATTTGTTTACAAAAGAGTTTTTTTCTTGAAAATACTTGTTTAAATTACGAGAAATATTCCACAATTTCACATACCGCTTAGATGGCCGGAAATAGCCGCCTAGCTGATTGTCATTCAGGGTATTTTACATCTATATTTTTCGTTTGTAATGCGTATCTGTATGGTCCTCATCTCCGAAAGTCACCTCGCGTTCTAAACTTTCTTCCGCGCAAATTCTATCTTATTTTCTTTAAAAATTAAGTCTGCCACCCATGAAACGTCTCATTGCTTACCTATCCAATTATTTGTATTCCAATGTTACTTCAATCAATCAAAGGTCACACTAAAACATAGTCACAATTAATGCCTTCCCGACTAGAAGTAGAAATAGACACTCATTGGTTGCCTTTCTCAGTATTGTTTTCTGACATTAGCTGGGTTTTTACCGCCTAGTTCACTGCTTCGCGTACGGTTTATTACAAAGCCACTCACTGTTCATTCACTGCCCACTCGCCAACACAATCATCCGTATCTGGACTACTTATTAAAAAGTACATCTAAACCCCAGGATTTATATCTGCAGGCGCATTAAATGCATTTTCTAAGCAATACTCATTCAGCACTTAACTTGATATCAAGACTTGGGAGGCGTCCAAATGAAATACATGGTTTCTACAAAAGATAATTCTTATTGAAGTTTCAACGTGTACTGAGTGTCAATATCAAATTTAACACAATAATATGTTTCAATTAATTATCTCCTTAACACATAATGTATACAACGCATCTTACAACAGTTTGGAATGTCCGTAATATTTCGTGGCATTGCTTGATTCATTATCAAATAAGCGACTGCGAGGGCATGTACGATTTTCAGCAACCTTTGGTGATTGAAAAGTGTCATTTAAATATTTCAAGTGTTCCAAACCAAAAATAAATGTTGTGAATTAAGTGAACAGATATCTCAATAATATTTCCTGCAAATGGCCACGCTAATTGTGTAAAGAGGACGGAAAGAAGTTCAGATGTGTTTCTGCAATATGCCGGTGAGAGTGAAATCAAATACAGCATAATACCAAAATCAGTTTTTTTGCTCACAAGAGCAAAAAAACTTATTTTGATATGGTAATATATGTTTCACACAATTGAAAATTGTTTTTTGATTTCAGCTTTAGGAAAGTTATGAGTTAATTTGTAACATTTTTGTAATATTACCTTTGCAAGCCTCTGTAGACAGAATGAACTTGTCAGGGAAATTGTTGTGCGTGGCCGTCAGAAGGTAGGGAGGCAGCAGGTTGTCCCAGTACCAATGGACTGCAATGCCATCGATGTAATTGTAAGTGTCCTTGTTCTCAAACATCTGGTAAAACAACAGGAATAAATTAAAATGTGATTGAGTGGATTGAAAGATATTTGTTTGAAATTACGATTTATTTTTGATTGATGTTTTGCTCTCTGGATCGTTAAAATAAAGTATTGTTGTAAGACAAATTATTTATCTCTGAAGGAACATTGAAAGGTTAGCTTTTATCTAGTTATCACGTTTAATTTTAAATCTTGTTTCAATTACTTCCTTTATGGGTAATTAACTAAATTTAAGGTTATTATTTAAAAGGTAAAAATAAGGAACAACATCGGTATCAAGTAAAGTCTTATAAGGAATAATAATAATAATAATAATAATATAATAATAATAATAATTTTATTAGTGGCGAGGAATGTAATCTAATAAACAGTAAGAACATTTTTCACGTAATGGTTCTGGGCCTCTTGTACTTGATCATCGCTTTAAACATAGGGTTAAATTTTCTTCAGTAAGATGCTCTTTCAAAGAGTATATTTATATTTCTCTAATTTACGTTTTTCCTTAACATTTCACAAATCCTTATTGAAATGGAAGGATTGCGGAAAGTTGACAAAAAAAGAGTAAAAATGGAAAAATATCGTGACAGTCTCCGGTAATCAAAAACCGATGAAGAAAGAGGAAGGCATTACATAAGAAAAAGTAATCTCGTTACTAGAGAACGCATGTGATTAAAAATAATCCAGCACGACACGCGAGGCCAATTAAGGGCTTTATAAAGGTAGGGCTTCTAACAACAATGAATGCAGTGGCGGATCCACAGGGGGCCATAGGCCACCCCTAAAAGGCCTAGAATTCTCGTTTGTTAACTTTCTTTATTTGGCAAAATTGATTTAAATATTTATGTTAGAATTATGTAATTATTTAAAAAATATTATTGTATAGTGTATTATATTCACTACAAAAATAATAAACAATATAATAAAAATTATCATAATTTAACAAAAATCTTGTGATGGCCCCTCCAAAACGATCAGCATGATCCGCCCCTGAATGAACTCTTACGTTGGTTTTAGAAACAGATGTTACAACAAGATTATGTGATTTAAATCTTGCAGTTGCGACATGAATTATAACAAAAATGTTACACACAGGCAGGTAAACTCTTAACTCACTTTGGTCATCCACCAGGGCAACATAAATCTCTGATCGTCCAAACCGAGAATCTTGGTCTGGTTAAATGGAGAGTTCCTGATAGCGGGTCCCAAATTTTCCGCCACCCACTTGCTCTGAGATGCTGGAGACCATCCCAAGGAATTGAACCTCATGATAGGAATGATGCCATTGGAAGGTTCATTTCCGGTGGAAATGGCCCAGAAATCAAGAGCTTGTTCTTTGTAGGCATTCAAAAACCTGTCATCAAACAAACACTGTTACATCCTCATAACAATAAAAAGAAACAAAAATTATGCTAGAAAATAATATAATTTATGTAAATATAACTAAATTTATTATCAATCAATTGATTATATAATAATTAAAATCGATTTTTTGTAAGGAAACATTCATGTAGAAAGCTCCAAATTGCATAGACGTAAGGACCATGGAATCAATCACTGAACGTAAACAATAAACGCACTAATTGGAGAGGTATCTGTGAAAAAATCTTAAAAGATCAAGACATCCTTGACATTTAATGAAAGGCGCAATAGCTCATCAAACAGCGTCACATTGTCGTTTAACGTCTATGTCATTTAACTTCTATTGACTGCAAACTCTGTAAACTCCAGGCTTCGTTTTGTCTTATTTACAGACATATTTTAAATTAATCAACGTTTTAGTCCATTGTGTAAGAGCAAAAAGAACATGTTTATCCCAAATACACCACTACTCAAGCCACTACGGAACCGCGACATCTTCCGTGTTGAAAATCGCAACAAAATGGATATTTCGATACTTACTTAACATGGTAATCAGCCCAGGCTTGGTAATACTTTTCCTTCAAACGAGAGAAGCCTACGAAGTCATTGTTCGTCTTCATCCATGTTGGAGAAGTCCAAGCAGCACTGAGCAGCTTAATTGACTTCCTGCTCATTTCCATTGCTCTCTTGATGATGGGGATCTAGAAAAATGAAGTTGTTGAGGACTCGCAATACAAATGTTGGATAAATTGAATATTAGTTCCCATACTGTTTTGTTTCATTGTATTTTCCCAATTCAAATTATCCATTCAAACACTTCCACAGTAATTTTCATGCTTCTTTTTATTAAGTCAGAGTGCGAAGGGAATTTTAATGTAAGAAGCTTTTGTATTTCTCTTTGTATTGTTTGATTTGTATTATTTGTTGTAATACGTTTGCTGGTTAATATTGTCAAATTATTAGTTTCAAGTATGAAGACCGCTGATAAATTTCCCAAATTTACTTTCTCGCCTTTATATATAGCAAGAGAAAGTATTGCAATTGGGCATCGCAAAACAGTGAAGTTTCGACAGAAAAAACTCTTATTGTCGTGCTCTGGTAAAGGAGAAGCGATTAAATCCTGTTCCCATTTCAGTACTTAAATTACTTCCTGTAACACGTGGTGTAGTCAGAGTCCGTGGTTGTGGGTCCTAGATATCGAAAAATCGATTGACGGCAAAAGGTCTATCTGTCGGTGTGATCAAGGGTAGCACCTAAACCGTTCAGGCAATTTCTCCAAAATTGGTACGGGATGGGCAGGCAGGCCAGGAAGCGGTCAGGTGGATACAGACCATCAATAAAATTTTCGGAAACAAGGACCAACAAAACATGGATTAAGATTACACAATAAGCTTGAAAAAATAATTTACAACATATAGAAACAGATTTATCCCCTGATTTTATACCAGGACCGCCAATAAGAGATTTTCATGTCAAAAAATAGCCGACTTCCAGCGCACGGCAACAATATTTCCTCTTCTTAAGAGTGAGGCGAGAAAATAAAAATTAGTATCACGCTTGAATTCAAACTACTGACAAAAATACAAGATTACTGACTATCTTAGATATATTTATTTTATTTACTTCATTTTTCAATTTTCACAGATTGCCCGTGAAATGTAAAATTTAATAAATCAAAAAAAACTAGAAGTTATTGTATTCTTTCATCTTCGTAAAGAGAAAATGTTATTGTAAATAACAGGCACTGTATATTCTAGGTTGGAAAATATGTAAGGTAGTATAGGTTACCTTATATTGAAAGTCTTCAGGTTGCAGCTTAAATTCGGACAAATCATCGTCATCAGCGACGTCATCGTAAGTGTAAGGGCGTGTGGAGAAGTCAGCTCCAGCAATCGGTACTCGTCCCATATTCAGCTCAATGCCTTCAGGAGAGAAATACGACCTGGAATTTTCATAAATGGTTGGACTCAAATAAATAGAATTCGAGAAATTGCAAGCTTTTAAAGAAAAAGCCCTTCGTATTTCTTCGATACACATGATTCATCGTATTTTTATTACATTTTTCTGAAAATAAAAAAATGACTTTTGATGAAATTGAACTCATATTCTAAATTCCTTACACATGTTTATAACTAGTATATTAAGCAATTGGTTTATAATGCCAAACTTAATCGCGAAAGTAGTATACGTTTTGAAAACAAACGATCTATTAATTTGGCATCCCTGTCAAATACAAATAATAATAATAATAATAATAATAATAATAATAATAATAATAATAATAATAATAATGTCTTTATTAATGCGAGGCTCAGGCCATAGGCCTGGCTCTTCCGCCTAACCACTGAAATTTCTCAAACATTTAGAATAGCGACATTTTTTTAAGATGGAGGACAAGCTGTACATTTACGTCTTGGGAGAACAAAATGTACGGACCATTCCGGCATACGCCTTAAGAAAAAGAACCTCAATCAGATGCAGCTTAGCGCCGCCGAACATTAATAGACTGAGTATGTTATACTGAGTAGTAGAAGGGAAGTTTTCTTTAAAGAGAAAAGAAAGACGTACAGGGGAAGGGGTCAAAGCTAGAAAATGAAAAAATTTTGTGACGAGAGGGAAGAGAAAAAACGAAGAAAAGACGAAGAAGAAGTAGGCGATAAAGTTATTTTGAGAGCGATTACAGAAAGCTACGCTTTAGTTTACAGTAGCACTTTACATTAAAGTATTACAATAATTTTACACCAGAGAACACAATACACTATAAGCTATAAAACAGTAATTTAAAACACAATACTGGCAAGTAATAAGGAACAATACAAAGAGTGCAGCGTAGCTTAACATCTATTTGTTTATGCAATATATTGCCAGTGAATATCCTGATGATTGCGTACAAAGATAGCTACAAGTATTATTTTACAGGAACCTCCACTTATATTTTGTATTTTGATTAACAATTTTATTTAGGTTAACACAGAAAAATAAAATGCTCATAATTTAGTGTGAGAGAGTAAAGAGTGGAGTAACCGTCTTTGTCTAGGTAAGCAATACGAATTCTGTCAAAATCGGATACATGGTTCGTATATTTCTTAGATCAAGAAAGTAAAACGTACGCCATGCTTCTGGGTACTTGAAGTTTACGTTGTAACTTGAATGTCATGTTGCCAGAAGAAAAGTCGCAATAGTCGAAATGTGGCATGAGTAAGTGATTTGATGAGAGTCTCACGCTTCTACCTGGTAAAAAGTGCTCGCAGGCGTTTTCAGTCGAGTGCATTGCAAGCAAAAAACTTTACGGCAGGTTTGAATCTACTTGCGAGTTCCAGCTGAGAGTTTGCTTCGATTAACTACACCTAGGTGTCTTGACTTCAGAACACCGAAGGTAAAATGGTTGTCATTAATGAATTATTAGCCAAAGGAAGAAGAGATTTTATTCATAGTGCATTTTCGAGCTATAACCATGCACTGTTATTTGTTTGGGTTGTAATTGTAAGCCTAAAGACGCTGCCCCCAGTTGTTTACCGATATTAAATCTGTCATTAATTTTTGTCGAGTGAAACGAGGTAGACGGGTGACCGTGTGACCATTAGATATATCTGGAATCATCCGCATACATTTTGATGACTGCAATATTTAAGTGCATTTCCCACGTCATTACATAGATTAAAAAGGCAAGTGCCCTAACACAGTGCCTTGAGCAACTCCGCGCGTTAACTTTCAAGTCCTTGAGCTACGGCTACCCCGACACCCTCTTTTGCGGTCTGAAGTTAAATAATTAAGAAACCGATTTACACTGGGTGTGCAAATCCCATGATCTTTAGTTTGGCGAGCAGGGGTTGCGTGATCTACTGATCGAATGCTTTGCTGAAATCCAGAAGAACCAAAATAGTTATATTACTGTAATCTATTGCTGGTCTCGCGTCTTCAATGACGTTTAGTAGTGCGGTTACAGTATTTCTGCCGGAACGGAAACCTGATTGCTGATCGTTTAAAAGTGACAAATGGGTGCCAAACTCCAAACATTCATCTGAGGGATACGTCCCATACAGTATGTGATCGTCCCGTTTTCCAAACCTTTATCGGCAACCAAAATGTCCTGTGGGAACGCCTTCACTTCATCCTGTGTTTTTCCAATTGGGTGCTACGATGAAAAACAGTTTTCTACTTAAAGAAAAAATTTTGGAGCATTTTTGATGTTTTTCTTAATTCCTATAATTCACGCAAACTTACCCGAAAACGAATATTATTTGGAAATATTGTGAATGATTTTATTTCAATATCTGTCTTTGAAGAACAGTTTTATTAAGGAAAGAAACTCTATATTCAATATTGTAGTAGTAGAAACACAACGAAAAAAATTGTGAACTTTTGCAATTTTTTAAAAGTCAAGACATTTTAACGAAGATTAGACATGCACCATTTCAAGGGTCATTTTGCTATGCAAGAAAAAATATTAATTGAAAAATTTGAAGCCATTTTTGAGAAACTTTTGAAAATGTTGACACTGCATATGAAGTATCCCCAGAAATTAAAATATCCACTCTGAGACGCACATCCGCTGAGACACTGCAGGCTGAAGGTCCTTCAAATCCTGTACTAATGGTTCCGATCTGAGGGATCTACTACTGTGCAATCAGCAGTACTGGGTCGATCTTTTATTGACGATTAATAATAGGAAAAGGAAGATCGATTTCGTACCCACCTTCGTTCCTTCTTTAGTTCATTCTTTCGAATCTTCCTTAGTTCTTTACTTTGGCCCTTTCTTCGTTCCTTCATGCCTACAGTTCCTTCATTATTTTCTTCATTTCTTCCTTCATTTCATCCTTCATTTCATCCTTCATTCCTTCCAGATATCTCTTTCTCTCTCTCTCTCTCTCTCTCTCTCTCTCTCTCTCTCTCTCTCTCTCTCTTTCCCTCTCTCTTTGTTTCTTTCTCATCTACACAAATGCTCGAGAAATATGTTACACTCATGTAGAACAAGTACGTTTTAATCATTTAAACCACCACTGAGGCTTTGAGTTGTTAATTTCTCTTTCTCTTTTTTGTCATTAAAGAAATATATTCCACTGATCGTAAATTCTCGTCTATTATACAAATATTTCAGTTTGCACAAGAGAAATGAACAATTTAGAGACAGAAGAATATACACCAGTAGTACATGTGATACGGATTTACTACCGCTTTAACACGAAAACGATTTCTCAAGCGCAACAAGTTAATTAATTTCATTATTTTCTGGGCTTCATAAAACTTTGGCACCTCCTTATTCTTGAACTCTATATATGTAACGAAATGTTTATGGGTAAATTTTTTATGTCGTGAAAACTATAATTCGATAGCCAAAGAAAAACTGAAACCATGGGCCCTTCATAACTGAAAAAATGTTACTCCAATGAATACACTCACCGAAGAAAGTTTTCTTGAGCGGGAGCACTCAGAGACAAAATGTTAATCCCAGCAGCATCAGTGAAGGATCCACCGTAACCAATGATGGTTTGCTGCGTGGAAGATGGATCGAGAGTAAATGCAACATCAGCTGAAAATGTTGAAAAACGTCAATGAAAACATTATTTCACACAATCATATCACGAAGAATAAACAATCAAAAAAGTCACGTTCAGAAAAAACTATCAACATTTTTTATCAGTCCGTTCTTCTCTTTATTTTAGTTCGGATTCAGGTCAACAACACACTTTTTAGACGTCAGGCTACATCTAAAATTCCATTTTCCCCACACGTGGACAAGGAATTAAGTATGTATGTCGCGTACTCGCAAACCTGAGGATAAATTCACATCCCCCACGTTTAAAATTAGATTCGTGAATTCCTCACCGAGGACCACATCAAGCATTTGGTGTAGATAAGAACCGGTAAAATTAAATCCTTCAGCAATTCCCGACATAATCAGATTCCAAATTCTTTCCAGGAAACAGCACAAATAACGCACAAAAAGACTTGAGTTGTCCGTGGTGACGAATTCAAAATTGTTCAAATACAGTCCATATTCGAAGTGGGCTAATGGCCAATTTTCCAGAGGCCGGGCAATAGACATCATCAACAACAACATCTGTAGAGTTCTGAAACGGAGCTTTTCGGACCACGGTGCATTAAAGGATTCACAGAAGCAGTTTTATAAAATAAAGACCATTGTATCAATCTATAATCACATAGCCACACTAGAGCGGGTTATTAACAAACTATCAATTAATCTTCCCTTATCTGAAATTCTGCGCATTATTATTTTTAATATTCATACTATTAAATTCATATCAATCCACAATCTTTTATTTTATTATAAAAAAGCCTTAGTGTGGCGCCTACGACCCTGTAAACAGTTTTAAACGTTCTGTTCTCTATCTCTCAGTATACATCTCATAATATTCTCCCTCGCAATACGCCTCGCTTGATACAAATACTGGAAGGGATCTACACGTGAGTGACAAACGAACACGGACGAATACACGCAGGTCGCCCGATTACTAAACAGTAGATGCCAAATTATTATACCAAGTATTATTCCTCGACTTAACGAATCACAATGTGTTCAGGGAAGCACCTGACAAAAGTAATGGTTTGAAATGTAATATCTATTAATGGCACTGAAATTTATACATATAATGAGGTGCGAAAATAATGAGGTAATGATATAATAAGTTGCAAATACTACCTCGAAGTCCTAAAGAACCAACAGTTCTCTTAAATAAATAAGTAATTTTGAAAACATGCATGCATATTCATACATGACCATTCTCCTTGCCACAATAGGAAAGAAAGTTGGAAAATATTAAGTTATTGATTAGTCATTACTCCAATGAGCTGCAAATAGCCCTGGCTACAATCTAAGTGAAAAAGTTTAATCTATTGCTGAAAGACACTGAAGAAAACAATAAAAACATGTTCATAAAATAACTCGTTTCCATCTGACAAAATGACTCTGAAATTGAAAGAATGATTTTAAAATTTAAAAAATCATCAATATTCTCAATAAACATACAAATTATGAAAAATTTTATTTGTATTTATTTATTATTAAATATATTACAATAATTAAAAACAGGTATCTAATGATTATAAAACGTTAGAAACCTGTTCATGAAGTTTGTTGTGAAGATCTATGGCAAAAACATTTTGTCTCATTTAATAACACTAGTCTAGTAATTTGGCCACCTCTTAATATAGGATATTTTTGGTTCTTTAATCATGTTCTTCATTGATGTTTTCAGATCAAAATAACACATTCCAAGAAAAAGTGCACGCCATAGGAAATTATTCGATTTTTTTTTCAATGAAATCGCCCCAACGGTGCTTACCTGCTTTCGCCTGCGGAGTGAGAGAGCCAGAGGACTTGGCGAACCTCAGGCCAGCTTTGGTGGTGGTGAACAAGACATATTGACCACTGGGGACCTCCGTGTCGGCGTCCAAAGTGTCACAGTACGTGGCATTGCAGACGCACACGAGGTGGTCGGAACTGACCTCACGCAGGGCGCACGGGTTGGCAGCACGCGCTACGCACACGAAATGTTTCTACTGTTAATTTTTACAAATTACTGGAGACAATATTAAATTACTGTATGTTTTATTTATTAAAATAATGTATATTTTTTTACATTTTATCACATGAACTCAAGAACACGATAATGAATACGTTTCGGATTCAGGGACAAATCCGAATTTTTTATTTTCATTATACTTACTTTATTCTCAACAATTACCACAAACTCACAGCATAATCCAAAGGAATAATTCCATTAAAGTCGATCAGAAGGTATTTCAAAAAGTAATTCACATTCTTTTAAAATGTATTTTTCTTTAATATTTTATAATAATAATAATAATAATAATAATAATAATAATAATAATAATACAAGGGAAGGGGATTCAAATTACTTGAACTCTTGTACAACATTGAAGCAAAAACTACATTTTTTAAGTTAAAATCAGATTTTGTAGAAGTGTCCGAAATTTCCTTAAATTTATTTCATTCTGATATAAAAAAATCGTCAATGCATTAAGTTTCAATTAAAGAAATAATGGAAGTACTAAATGGGAAAAACACAAAGGAACACCAAAAACCAAATACTATGCAATAAAATTGACAATACACATAATATAAAACACATATAATGTATTTTAATTTTAATATTTCAGACGTCATCGAGTTTGACATTTAAAAAATGTGAGTTGTACTTACCCGTGGAAAGAGCGATCACTAGGAGAAGACCTGCAAATAATTTTGAGGTCCAATCCATTGTGGTATATCGTGTTCCGAATTCTGTTGACAAGGAATATGCATTCAGAAATCTCAATTGTAAACATGAATAACACGAGGAATTATATCAGACCGAAACAAGTTTTACATACCTTATACACTGAAGATGAACACTTTACTCTCCACACGATAACTGAAAATCAGAACTCTTTCGCTCCTCTTTTATCTTATACGAACATGGATAGACGTGATTGTATTATTCTGATAAGATATTGGCTCATTAAATCTGAAGAAAACAGGTGTTGACTACTTAATCGACAATCTCCATCGCGAATTTCCAACCATCTATATTATCATCACCAACAACCGAAGGTCAAGTATATATAAAACACATTAACTTAATGTTGAATAGTAAACGGTGAGATGACAGGAAGAATGTCGATTAAACGGTAGATGACAGGAAGAATTTTAGCAAGGCGATAACTTTCTATAAACTACGATAGTGCGTATTACTATCACCATCTAAAATATGAATTGACAACTTTATGGTGTGTTATTACAGATAACTTGCAAGATAACATGTCCCCACGAAGGTATGTTCTTCACGTGAATCCTGGTGGAACTGACCTCCTTTGCTACCGAGCACATGTTCACGCAACTCAGCAAAACATTGGCAGAGATCCAGAAAGAGAAAGTCCCGACTAAGAGGGTCAAGCTCGCTACTGGATAGATAGTACGTACGTAGTCTAGTACAAATCATTTCTGACTAAAACTGACGCAAGGGCTAAAACTGATAAAATGTATACCATAGTGCATTTTTCGACATGATCCCGCAAAAGCCCGTAAGTCTTTAAATCTAAAGACGATTTCATAAGGTGGCGACCTTAGATTTAAAATTGTAAATTCAAATTTCGCCTCAGACATGTTTTCATTTTTTTAAGTTGCGTGAGGAAAGGCAATTGCAAAACATCAAATATCACATATTACTGAATGAACCTCTGGTTGGCATTCATAATTGCTCAGTACTAATTCTATTCTGCTTCATCACCATCACAGCATCATGGCCATGCCTCTAGAAAAAGATAGGCTCGGCAAAGTAACACGTGGCTCGCTCAAAGAGATCTTTGAAGTCAAATTAGGAAATTGTAAGCAAAAAAATTGACAACTATTGATTGATGTGCTCTTAGTAAAATCGGTCTTAAATATATTTCAATTATTGGTAGCGACAAAATCGTACTAGTTAAAAAAACACTCTTTCGAAAGTTCTAAGATAATCTGCAAGTTTTTAATTTTTTTTCAATGTGCGAAGCATTGATAATATGTACTCAAATACCATGAAGATGACATAGAAAACATGTTCGTTTTAAAATAAAGTATGCAAAGAATGCCTAGAAAAGAGCTTCATCGACTTTGGCAATTTACTATAAACTAATCTGTAACTATTGTAATAGCTAGAAGATTAATCATTCTTGGGAGAATCTAAATATTTTATTTGTGAAAACTTAAAATGCAAAACAGAAAAAATAATATGCTCACATAATTCATTGCATGCAACAACGTACACTTATACAAATAATTCACGCCGTTCGTGTCTTATGATTCGGAGAAGTTACAGCTTAACTTCCTTTGAAATTATTTCACTTCCTTTAATTATTCCGTGTTTAAAACTGAAATATCAGCATTTAGCGCACCAGTTGAAGAAGTATTGTAGGTTTTCCCAATCTCGTGACTATATATTCTTCACATGAGATATGAGGATCTCTCAAAGATAATTCTCGAAAAGAGTAATTTACTCTGTGATAAGTGTTCCAGAGCCAAAGAGCTTTCAATTTTGTATTTTCAACGGAACTTTATCCAATATGTTTACGTAAAATATCTACGTATGTTTTCATATTAGAAATGAAATATTTGAAAATACATAAATTGATTTCTGTTTGAGATTATATTTAATTTAAATGCGAATTACGCACGGGCATATTTACGTAAAATAACGCCAACACCAAGCTCAACTCGTGTCCTCGTTCCAATATTTAAACACTGAAGTAATGAAATACTGAAGTTGGATCATACTGGACGCAAATAAAATAAAAATATATACTGTATGTTTATATGGTAACAATATACTATAAGCTTTCAGAAGTTTAAAAATGACCTTTCTGATTATGTATTAGAATGATTCAAGGTTTTAAAAGTGTAGTCAAAGTGAAATATTTCATAAAAATTTAATATTTCAGTTCACAGTAGAAAAAAATAACAAAAATGTACAGAAGAAATATAACAACAAAAAAATGGTTTGCAGTTTTGAACACAATATATAAAAATTTTGCAATATCACCTGTTCTGTCCCGTTCTTTGAAATCTTCCCAGGCCACTTTTATTTCCGCCACTTTCACCGGCCAACACTTCTGTGACTGATATATCGACATACTTTTTCCAAACCTAATCTTAATCCCTCAAAATATCTTTCTACGATAACACACTTCCCCATAATTCGAAGACAAGCTTTACAGTAGCGTACGCGTCAAAACATACTTGTTGCGAGAAAGCCTATGTTATGTAAAGAACTAAACGCCGAATGTTTTGTACCGATTGCCCCCAAACCATCTAGGTTGAAGAATGATTTGAAAACTTGGAGAGAGAGAGTCGAACTCTAAATTGGGCAGCATTCCCTACGACAAGCCAGGAGGCAGGACTACTCCCAATGTTTGGTACCGATTGTACAGCACCCATATCACTAACAGTGATGATGCATTTGAAGGCACATTTGAAAGCTTGAGCTTGTTTCACTTAAAATGCAGTGGTTTGTGATTTATGATTTACTCAAAGAGTTGAACATTTTTGTTCATCTAAAATACAAGTTAACGCTTTTTAATTTTAATTCTTCATTTAACTAAAAGTTATACTATATAATATCTATCGTTTATTTCTTGGATGTCCTGTTTCGTTTCTTTACTTCACCGAATATTCGCCTTTTGGTTAACATATTTTATCCCGTAAAATTTAAAATCTCGCCTTAGCCGGTGGATGTGTTCCTGCTCCCTAATCCTCCGCCGTTCAGTGTTTTGTTCTGGAAGTGTTCATTGCTACTCATCTCTATTTCTAGCTATACATTTTTTTCGAGTTCACAACGATCTCTTGTTTCCCTCCGGGTTGGTATCCGATCGCATTTTTTGGGCGAATATTTCTCTCCTTGTGACAATAATATGAGAATTGGTTTCCATATGTTTTCTTCTGTATTTTTATTATTAATGTGAAACAAATCATGCTTGGAATTATGAGAAATGTCAATTTTTTTTGTAGCACTTACGATCTAGTTTGTTTCAAACTGTCTTTTATTATTATCAAATTATAATTTGCATAAAAATTACCATATTCTCCCATTACATTTATCTTATCTTTGTTGGCTAATACTTTTATCTTTAAAGAATATTTTGGGTGCTGCTTCGGGCTAATATAAATGCGGGTTCAAGGGTCTCACCAGTGTTAGCATTCCTTTAGTATTATGAGGAAACGGGGAGATCATTTCCGTTCCAGTGCCGTATATCTAGCATTAATGTAAATAGTTCTGAGAATATACAACTTACTTAAGTATTTCCGACACTGATTCATGTAAGAACACTGAGTCACGTTAAGTATATAGTAATGAATCACATCGGAAATCAAAAGAGTAGGATGTCGATTATTCTGCTATTCTGGTTATCGACATCTAGATAATAGATGATAAAATTGTCATCCCACTTGTTTATGCATTAAGAATGTATAATAATTGATTGTATCCTACAAATAAGAAAAAAGGCATGCCTTGCAATAATAATATCCACTCTCAAGAAATCTAACCATGTAACAACATTGTTCTAATATAGAAGATAGATTTTCCGGGCTGGTAGGCCGTAGTCCAGTGGGCATTGTTGGGCCAATGGCCATACAATGCCAACTGGACTACGGCCTACCAGCCCGGAAAATATATCTTCTATTGACTCCGGCCGTGAAAGCTACGATAATATATTGTTCTTATGTTTTTTTAATGTAAGTTGAAGTAAAAAATATATTTTCACGCAAAATTATGAGAAAAGTACCAAATTTTCTAAAATGTGTACATGACCTTCAAAATCTATGTTCAAAGAATAGGTTTTATTAGAAAGAAAATCTCTAACTTTAATATTTCAGTTGTAGGAAGGCTCCAAAAACATCTTGCCCTTTGGCAATTTTCGAAATTTGAAGGTTTTTAACGAATATGAGACCTGCACCATTCGCATAACGTCCTTCACACTATCTAATACCAATATTTAATCAAAAACGATGTACCAATTTTGTTTTGAAAATATGGATAATATCCCAGGGGCTTCATTTAAGGAGCCCCCCAAAACTGAAATATCGGTTCCAAAATTCAAAGGGTTTCGACATCAGATCGATTGCGGAATATCAATTTTGGAGAATATCAGCTGAACAGTTTAGCCGCTAGCGCTGTTCACAAACAGACAGACGGACGGACGCACAGAGAGACAGACGTTTTGCAGTCAATTGATTTTTCAGTTTCAAGGACACAAAACATGGATTCACCACGTGATAGAGGATTTTTTTTTCAAATTTAGCTACTGGGTTTATCTACTTTATCATTTCCATGGTCCAGTAAATCTATTTTTTTTCAGCTCTCTATTACGTAAACGGTAGCCAAAAAGTAATAAGCGCGCGATCCTTTCTTCCCAAATCTGTCCCCTCTCCCATCATAACAGCTTAGCATTAGGCTGATTCTTCGTTCCCACATGGCAAATCCCCCACGTAGTATTTTTTCCCCCATCAACACCAGCCGAAAGTCTGAGTAGTGTCTTAACATGCGGGCCACAGGTCGAACGCGATCTTCCCGTCCTCTTCCTTGACCTATCCTCACCCTGTGCTTACACATTTGAATGGACTACATTACCACACATGTCGGAAGACCAGTCGAGAGCTTAGCGCTTGTCCTGGTGGTGTCCCGCTGGGAAGGGAACCTAGACCCAGACATCCACAAGCCCCTATGTAGTTGGTTGGTTGATTAGTGATTCCAGGTGCGTCATCAGCTGAGG